AATTAACTGCGGTCATGTTCCCACTGCAGCATTATCATTTGATATCACTATTATGTTTACCTCAATTCACATAATCTCTTTTTACCCTTGTATAATTTTCTATACTTCCTGTCATTTTTCTATTAAAGTATAACCCCTTCATTATATGAGAGACAGTCATTATGGTCTGTATTGATTGGTGGCTTTTTCTATTGGACCAGCTATAATAGTGTAAATCAGTCCATGGTTCAACGTTACATGTCGCTGCCGACTTTGAAGAAAGCACAGCATTCGATGATGATCTTTACGATCAGCGCTACAATATTCCTTTCGTTTTGCTGTTTCGCCGGTTTATTGATATTTGATTTCTATCGAAATTGTGATCCACTAAGCGCTGGACTCATCTCGGTAAATATCATATCACTTAACCATTAAGTACTAGGAAATGTGTAGTTAATTTACTTCTTCCCCACAGAACAACGATCAATTATTACCGATCTACGTAATGCAAACTGTTGGTCATCTACAGGGCATACCGGGTCTTTTTATAGCCGGTGTTTTTGGCGCAGGGTTAAGTTCTTTATCGTTGGGATTTAATTGTACTGCATTGGTAATCTTTGAGGATATTGTGCGTGCTAGTTTTAAAATAAAGCTAAGCGAACGCGCTTCAAAAATACTTGTCGGAATCGCAATAGTTATCCAGGGTGTAATTGCTGTTGCGTTGATTTTTGTTCTTGAAAAGTTAAGTGGCATTTTGAGCGTAGTGTCTTCGCTTGTTGCCATTGAAAGCAGTACCACGTGTGGAATATTCACACTCGGCATGTTGGTACCATGGAGCACTACAAAAGGGGCATTAGCTGGCGCTGTTGCGGGCGCAATTATGTCCGGTTGGGTGTCTTTTGGCTCACAAGCAGTAAAAGCAAGCGGCCAACTTGGTTCGCATATTTTAGAAGTGTTTGTATCGGAATGTCCCGCTAATTCCACAATAACTGAACCCGAATATGTTGATGAGTCGGATGTATTTCCTTTATATCGTTTATCGTATCATTGGATACCTGTGATTGGTGTTTTGTCTACATTACTGGTTGGCACTGTGACATCTTTTCTCTGCGGACCAAAAGACTTGAAAACATTGAACGCAAATGTAATATCACCTGTAATCCATAGGTAAGAGCTATTCCTATACACAAAAGTTTTGGTCCCTTCTCAAAAGCTCCGATGGGTTCGGCCGATTTTTTGCTACAAAATTTATTATTTACCTTATATTAATATTTCTTTTTTTCGACATAGATTTTTACCGAAGGAATGTTTCAATGCTACGCCTAATGCAAACCCGATTTATATTTCGGATAAGTCCAAACACATGAGTGCTACGGAGAAATACTAAAATATGGATTAAATAACCTTTATTTTATTCCTATGTACTTTTTCAAACCTTTTGTTTTTTGTTTTTATTCGTAAATCGAAAATAAATTTATATAAATGGGTGTCTTAGATATGAATCTTCGCAATAATTTTACCTTTGAAGTTAATTCTTCAACTCTTCCCTATCGACCTTACGGTGATTGAAAAATATAAATAGCCATACACTTTCGTTAGGTAAGCAACAAGATTTCTGTTCAGTGTGTAGACTGTGTTCAGTTCAAGTTTGTATTACGTGGAGGTACCTTTTTGCTTATCTTATCAGAATGGATTTGGTAACTAGGGTTTCATACCGCAAGTCATATTCAATATAGTTCAGATGACTTGTATTTTTAAAGCTATTAGTTTTGGATTATATTATAATGACGGAAATGTTGCGGCCAAAACAATGTACTGCATACAAAAGATTACCTACTAAGAATCTAGACACCCCAGGCCGGCGAATATCTAATTAATTAGCACAGTTTTCTGAATTTTGTTTTCTATTTTACAAGTTTGGGATTTTATCTAAATTATAATATTTTTATGATTTTGTGACAGAATAAGGAAATTTTATTTTGAACTTTCATAAAAAACAAAATTTTTATGAATAATGCTTTCAAGCTAACAAATTAAAAAATGCTAAAATGTATTGTCGTATAATTGTGGTAATTTAATTACCACTTAAGCCAGATTTACTGGGCATATTTGTCTATCAAAATTGTATATTAATAATTTTTTTAAAGAAATAGAATATTTGCATATTATATACTTTACTACATTCTCCACTCCAATTATTTGTTTAAAGTTTTTAAAATGGTTGGTTAGAAATTAATAAAAACTTGTTCGCTCTTAAATTGCAATAGTTAAGTCTTAGCTAAATATATCAAAGAAGTGACCATATGAAATTTCAGTGACACTGCAGTGGTTATACTCACTACTACCAAAATAATTTTAAGGGCTTATACGAAATAAACATATTCTCGCCTTTATCGTCGCTAATCTTTAATTCTTCACAATGCAGAACAAGGTATGTATATTTATAAATATAAATATATCTTATACGATGTAATCAACGAAATAATTTGAGCATTTCATTACTTGGTGTGGTAAATAAAATACAATTGAAGAAATCGTGTATCAGCGTATTCAGGCGGAATATATTATTTCATAAACTAATAGAGTTACTTTAGCACAAACTCAGTAAACCAGTGCCTAAGTATTGCATATTAATATTCTAAATAACCACTTGGTACAGTTTGAAAATGGTCAATCACGTATTTCATCAATAATGTCTATTAGAACACTTTCAGGGTATAACGATCTCAAAACGTCCATTTACAATAGAACAGTTCAAAAATGACCAAACTCGGACTGAACCATGGCTACTCCACATAGACTCCCACAATTCCACAATTTTGAATTATCAGATGTTTGGACTTTACAATAGATACTTTTAACAGTAATGAGAGTTTTAAGAGTTGTCGAGCCATTAGTCAGAGTCAGAAGATATCTGAATAGTATAAGTGTGAATGTTTCGCGTGCATAATGCAATTTGGTACCATGAATTGGTGATATTGATTCACAGTTTCCGTGATGATCATATGATGAGTATACATTAGGGTGTCCGTTATTTCCCAAGTTGATTGTTTTTTTGCAAACGCCCCCTGAAATTATAGTTTTAGCTCTAAAAATAAGGGTGAAACGTAAACAAGCTCTTTATTTTTAATTTAGACGGTGCCTAAATTAATTTTCTTTTCTCATGTATGTAACATGCGATTTCTTGATATTTTGCATTAAGAAATTAAATTTACAGTTTTAAAAAGCGATATTATAATACCAAATTTATTACTCTATAAAAAAGGCATTAATAATTTTTTTTACAAAATCTTTCGTTTAAAAGTTATACTTAGTTAAAGTTATGCATCAAATGAATTGAGCATTCATGCCTTATAAATTCTATGTTACTCATACGACATGGTGTACTATATGAATACAGTACACTTAATGCATATAGTAGTTCAATTTTGACCTTGAATAACTACAAGTGATTTTTTTTGAAAAATGTCACAGAAAGTTTTTGTAGACCGATTTACTTGTATTTTTCAGAAAATCTCTCTCGAGTATGAACTAGCCTCATCCCCAAAATTTAAATTTTTACTATTTTTAAAAAATACGGGAAAATAAAAAAAAATGTTAAAAAAAATTAATTTGTTTTACTTATCGCTACTACATACAATTGAGACATCATTGCAGATTGATAATCTTTTTTTTTCATTTCAGATGACTAGTAGGGTTAAATGCATACCTATAATGCTTATGTGCCAATTTTTTGAGACGCCCCACTTCATCAGCTGGCAGTTTTTTAACACTAAACCTACCACGAGCGGTCAAATGACCGTTTTCAAATTTTCTTTAAAATTTTCTAAGCACCACGTTATTATACCGCCATTAAACTTCATGACTTTTCCTAAAATATGCATACAATTGTTTTTTTAATATTTACTACTTTTTCGATTCTTTGATTTTTGAGATAACTATGTAGACCGTTTTAACTACCGCGAGCGGTCATTTGACCTTGTACTTGGAGCGTACCAAAGAAATAGTGGAAATAGTGATGTTATAAATTACTCTTTCAACGAACCACATTTTTTAGTTTTTATTTCATTATTTGTGTGCATCTATATCAGCCTAAAAATGTCAAGGCATTCGATAAATATCAAATTATTAGAGAATATAAATAATATTGACGAAGAGTGTTCGGAAGATGAACGGGAATTTTCTGATAATGAAGATGACAAAGAGGAAAATGATTTTGATTTATTTGGCAACGACTCTGACACCGATAGTGACCAAGAAAACATTTTGAACATACGTAGAAGACAAAAGAGAAGGATATTTGTAATTAGTTCCGAAAGTGAGAATGAAGAAGAGCTAACCGAAACTACTATAGACGGAACTGAATGGCAAGAAATAAAAGAAGGGTCTAATCCTGGAAGAACAGAGATGCATAATATTTTTAGAGAAACATCAGGCCCAACGGGCATTCTAAACGAACTATTATGAAGATAAATTTTTTACAGTTTTTCTCTTATTGTTGATCATAATACAATCGAACATATAAGAAACTGCACGGAAGCCGAGGCATTTCGAGTGTTGGGAACTAAATGGAATCTATCTACTGCAAAATTATATGCATTTATCGGATTATTGTATGCACGAGGTGCATATGAGGCAAGAAATTTAGATATTTCACTCCTATGGAACAAAAAAATGGGGACCAGCATTTTTCTCAAATACTATGAGCAGAAATGCATTTACGGAATTATGAGGTTTATTCGGTTTGATCAAAGAATCAAAGAAGTCATCGCTTACAAACCGATAAATTCGCTTTGATTTCTAAAGTTTGGAACAAATTCGTAGAGAATAGCCAAAACTGTTATAAACCAGGAGCATATATTACTATATGAACAATTGTTTCCAACAAAGTCAAGATGCAGATTTACCCAGTACATGCCAAATAAACCGACAAATTTGGCATCAAATTCTGGCTAGCGTCCGATGTAAATAGCAAATATATAATAAACGGCTTTCCTTATTTGGGAAAAGATGAAAGCAGAGATCCTTCAGTTCCCCATGGAGTTTGTCGCTCTGAATTAGTAGAACCGTATACAGGTCGGGGGAAGAATATAACCATGGACAATTTTTTTACAAGCATTTCGATAGCGACTAAACTTTTTAGAAAAAAAACTACGGTTGTTGGAACAATTCGAGCAAATAAAAGAGAGTTACCAAAATTGGCAAAACAGAAAAAAGACAATATGACACGTTTCTCAACAAAATTATATCGGACAAATAATTGTACTCTGACAGTTTATAAGGCTAAACAAATAAAAAAGTATTGATTCTTACTCAATGCATAATTCGGTGAAAATTGAAAAAAATGACGCCTGTATACCCGAGACAATAAGATTATATAATAACACCAAATTCGGTGTAGATGTTACAGACCAAATGGCCAGAAAATACTCTGTAAAATCAAATCTCGGAGATGGCCACTACAAGTATTTTCAATATCCTAGACTTAGCCGGGATAAATGCATGGATATTATATAAAGAAACAACGGGAAGTCTAATATCAAGGCAAAACTTTTTATTTCAATTGGGAGAAGAACTTATAAGCGAATATCAAAAAGAGCAACAGCCAGGCAAGGAAGAAGAGCCAGCAAAAGCAGCCAGAAACATTAGTGCACAAACAAGTGATCGGAAAACATGTCAGATAAGATATTGCAAAAAAAATAAGACAAACAAATTCTGTCTAAAATGTAAAAAGTACGTATGCGGCAAATGTGCGATTGAGAAGCCTATAATTTGTAAAAAGTGTTGTATATAAGGAATAAAATGTAGATGATTTATTTTTAAATAAAAGAAACTATATTTTTAATTATGAAATAATTATTTTCTTCATTTTATATTAAGAGATATAAGTAATTTCAAAATCCGTCATTTGACCGCTCATGGTAGGAATAGTTATACATGCAATGCTGGTAGGTTTAGTGTTAAATTTTTAACTTGTTTTAAAATTTTTTTCTGTACTATTGTAACATTAATAAATAACTGATAAAAAAATCGATAGTAAATATATTGATTGCTTTTTTTACGACACTTTAAAAATTACCTAAAATTCATGTCTCTAGACTAGAATACCCCCTCATCCTTTTTTGATGATCTTATCATTTCCATGATGATTTTTATACCCTGAACAGGGTATATTAAGTTTGCCAAGAAGATTGTAACACCCAGAAGGAAACGTCGGAGACCCTATAAAATGTATATATAAATGATCAGCATGATGAGCTGAGTTGATTTAGCCATGTCCGTCTGTCTGTCCGACCGTCCGTCTGTATATATGCAAACTAGTCTCTCAGTTTTTAAGCTATCGATCTGAAATTTTGTACCTGCCCTTTTCTCACTAAGAAGCTGCTTATTTGTCGGAAAGGCCGATATCAAACCACTATAGCATATAGCTGTCATACAAACTGAACAATCGGAAGCAAGTCCTTG